TTTGTAAAATTATGTGCTTCGGTTGCCATAATTTGTTTTAGTTTTGCTTCTGATTTGTTGAGACTATCCCGTGCATTAATTTGCTCAGAAAACTCGGGATTCATGGTCTAATTATTAACTAGACTGTCGAAAAAAACTTCCTTGAAAAACTACCTTGGTACACCTATCCACCCATCTATATCTATTCAGTATGCATGCATACCTTCCAAATAGACTCTAGGTGCAGTACAGCCGTAAGCTCGTAATCATCTTACAATGCATTCATTTCGTTTTGCACTAGACACACGTACGAAAAGCGGACCTATTTTCATTGAGGCTACATGGTTTTCTCTTTTTTCTTTCTTTTTATCGGAGAATTAAGAAGCGGAGTCATTATTTTTTAGTTTCAGGGAACAATGAGTGAGGAGGTGAATAGTAATGACTTGGTAATGTTTGAAGGTGACAGTGGTAATAATGATGGCCAGAGAAGGGCATTGTCATTAATAAGCCAGAAATCGGGCAAATATTCAAAGTGAGGATAGATGGGGGGTTGAAAGACTGGACTCTTGTCCATACCATACGATGATTTCAATTTTGCGATCTCTTAGTTCTTGTACTGTGCATCATGTGGATGCCAACTGATTCCATACATCCCAAAACAAGAAAGTTACTTTGTGACAAGTAGAGAATAAAGTATCAACTGAAAATTCTTGGGGAATCATTGTGGAAGGCTACACCAAAGTCCCAGAGGGATTGTTGTTAAAAAGAGTATCAAAATCGTAGGGGATCATAGATGAAGAGAATACAAAAATCCCAGAGGGATTATTGTGGAGGTTATCATCAGACCCTAAGGGATAATTATTGAAAAGAGTGTCGAATCGTAGGGGATCAGAGATCCTCGGAGGATGCAGTAAGAAACCAATCGTGTTTCCCTCAGGCTTGGACATCTCAAGCAAAGTCTACTCGTCTCTACTGAATTAGGTCTACAAGAAAACAGGGGGGCGGGACATGAGATATCATTGTTCTCGGAGTATCAGACATGGTCAGTAATTTTAGATCGATTCCCATTGAAATAAGGGAACTCAATTTCCTAATCTGATTGTCTTTTGTAACTGTGTTATCAAGGTATCTTTTAAAGAGAACAGTTATTACAGTGCTTCAACGAGAAACGAAAACAAACTTAACGAATGGGACACGTTCTGCGAAGTCAAAATCCTGAATTCAGTCAGGAGTGCAGAGCTTAATGGGCCATGGCCAACTAGTCATTATTTTAACATCAGTGTACGTCTTGGAGAGCAAGACACTAGATGATCTTGCTGCAAGTATGTAATGTAATTGCCAGCAAATATTGGTCGAGCCTCAGAGTTAGATGGGGCCGTCTACTTTGGCAACATGAGGAAGAGTTGAAGACCAGAACAACACAGTCATCTTAGTGCGATGAAAAAACGAACATGGCTAAATTTAATGACAGGAGAAGACCTTGAAAGGTGTTAAACGACCCTCTTAGAGATAATTTCAGCAAAAAGAGTGACAAAAATTCATTCGCACGACCCACGCTTGTCACATTTATTCCTTTATTGAAGGATTAACGGCAATATCGAGGAACAATGACCCCAATGGAAAAGCTGAATCGTGTGTATCATTTTACGTCGGCAACTTTTACGTATGCCAAGATCTTTCTCAGTGTCCATCAATCTTGTTTACTCCGCGGCTCGTTGTTAGAATCGCTCTAATGGATATGTCTTCATACATTGGTGTTGAAAGCAACACCGTAACTTTGTACGGGCCGACATGGTAAACACGACACTGTTTTAAAGCCATAACATTAACTAGGAGTAATCTTGTTTTATGAAAAGTACTCCCCCATCAGCGGTTGAACACACCGCAGATTACTAAAACTACAGCTGAGATTAAAACCAATCAAAGTTACGTGACCGAAGAGCAGGGAAACGGATTATACGTACATTACGTCTAAGTCCACATGCTGATCTGCTGGTAATGAAAGCTTGTCAAAAAGTTGTACAAAGTGTAAATATACATTAAGTAAATTACATTCTTCGGGCTTTTGAAACTGCTCAACAAAAGGTCGTTTATTCCAATAATGCCGTGCGTGGTAAACAACATTTTTCATCTCTAGCCTTTCTCACAAAATATCGTGTAAAATTTCACCATGTCCATTGTCCCAGCGAAAGCAAATCTGAGCTTCTCCATTGAAAACATTCTTAAGGAAGAAAACTCTTCGGAAAGCTCTTATTTATCCAGACCTGATGATAATAATGATAATAATGATACAATAACTCTTCAACAAGGAACCTCTTCGCCTGAGAGATCTTTGAACAGCGATCTTCCGTGGCTGGCTTATACTCGTTATTGTCCGCCCAAAATCCCAAGTAAGTGATATAAAATCTGTGTTTTCGTGTGGATTCTCAGAGGTGAACATGTCAATGGCTGTGATAAAGTTGAAGGTTTGTAATTTTCAATTACGAGCTTCAAATAAGTAAATTCAAGGAAAAATGACTTAAATTTTGAAATAATAGCAACAACAAAAAATACAGGACTAAATAAAGCTGAAGAGATCTCCATCCAACTGCTTTGATATTGCAGATAAATATCGGCCACTTTTGTAAGTTTCGGGAATTGAAAAGGGTGTTAAATTTTGCCAAAACTCTATCAGACGACCCCTGTTTTTACACCTCGTGGGACAACTCAGACAGCTGCTGTATATCTCTTGATTTGAAAACGAGAGACCAAATGAAGAAATAAGACCTAATGAGACTTTTTCTTTCATAGGGTCAAGAAATCGTAAAACAGTAAACAAGCGGAAAGTAAGTGGGGGTCCAAGAGTACCATTCTCGTCAGAACAGCTACTGGAGTTGGAGAAAAACTACGAGGACACTCATTATGTCACTGCAGCCAAAGTTTTACAACTTTCTAGCGAGTTAAAACTTCCAGGAAACCGCATCAAGATTTGGTTTCAGAACCGTCGTGCACGGGAAAAAAAGAAGGCTAAGAAGCTGGGAAATTATAAGAACCAACAACTTACTGCAAACGAGATATGTGCCGAGACCACCCTTTCACCTCATGAAAAAATCGGTCAGAATAGAAGCTGTTTATCACAATTTTACCCTGCTCCTATTGGGAGGAGAGAGTCCGCTTTCTCTCCAATGTTTAAGTCTCAGTTAGCTCATACCGGTTGTCCATTAAAGAGGAATCTCGCATGGCCTGGTACATCAAACGTGCCTCGGGTCCTTAACCTAAAGTACATTAACTGCGATTTGTACAAAAGACTCAGTTGTTTTGTTCAATGTACATAGCATGTGAGATGTCCCTACAACAAACAACTGTTGAGTGTGAAAAACTTTAGAAAGATAAATTTGATTCGTTGACATTTAATAAAGAAGATAGTATACTTTGATTAAAAACTGTCTTCAAACCTTTCTTTTGACTCTCCTTTTAAACGGCGCCTTCAGGAATAAATACCCATTGTAAGAACAAGGCTCTTTTTCTCAAGAAGCGAACTAAAAGAATTAAAAACAGCCAGTATTCAGTTGCGTGAGTCGGAGAAATATACTAATCCTTTTAAAAAGTGGCTTTGGTTTTTCATTGAGTTCTCTTGGGCTTAGTTGATAGAGCACTTGAAAGAAAACTAGGACCTAGCTGAGTTTGGGGACACACGAGTTCCTTTGTCTCCTGCTCGTGACCAAACGAATGATGTGTTTATTTCTTCCACGACAAAGTTCAAAATTCCCAATCTCTCGTTATCGTATTTTAACACAGAATACTTCAAGACGCTTCTGATCCTAGTAGTATGTAAGACACTTGCCACGTGTGAACAAACTCAAAAGCCTCGAGCTCGCTCATCATCGATTTCTTTGTGATTCAGTTGAAAGAACATTGGACCGCGAAATCGTTTGAATCGTTCTAAGAGGGAAAGGGGAGAGGGTTCTGTTTTTTACCCTCTTTTATTATTTTTCTAATAACAGTCATTGTTAACATCTCTTTTTCATTAAAATGAACGACTGAACCATTGCTGGTCAGTCCACGTCTTGAGTGAACTGGCGACACCATGGCACGTTTAGCGGACGTTGCGTCCATTATTTCCTTTCACTCTCTCGTGTAACTGAACTCATGCAAACCCGATTCACTGCTTCAACGGAAAAAACGCTATAAACAGCCAGCAGCTGCTTTTGGCTCCACTGGTTAATTCAGTCTGCAAATTTTAATCACTTTATTCTCAAATAGAAATGCCAACTTAATGAAAAGCTTAGTGTGATCTTCTGCGGTTGTGACTTAACCTAGTTTCATTTGCATTTCGGGATAAAATCTCTTATGTAGTTTGAATACCGCCGTCGTTTTCATTCATAGGGTGAAATATGGAGAGACTGACAACCTGTCTGTTAAACTCCTCCTGAGAAGATTAAATTATTGCACGCGCGGTTATTACAATCTGATAACGCACAGCAAACAAATTTGGTTTTGGTGAAATTTTTAGAATACATTAGGAGATCACTGACAATGTTATAAGCTAATACAAGTCTACCCAAGAGAACTGAAGCACCGGAAATGTTTGATTGCTCATTTTATTGGAATAAGTAGGTTGTGTGTGTATGAAGTTTGATTGTGATGATCTACGGTTTATCCATCTCAAAAAGTTTCGAGATTCATTGTTGTGCAAATGAAGTTTTTGTAAGGAACATTTTTTTGCAAACGACAATCAAAAAATAACCTTCTGTGACCGACGCAAACCACAATGCATATATTAACCACAATGTCGACAGATTTTTAACCCTTGTCAAGACTTTGTACTTTCGCTTATTATAGGTACACCATAGTACACCTTTATAAATAACTCTCTTTCACACAAACACAGATCAACTTATCCAGCCCGCTTGAAAAACCCAGACATCTGGCGCTCTTGTAATCCCACTCAATCACTTGAAAAAGAGACAAGTTCAAGGAGGTATGCCTATATTTCATAACAGGTGATTGCAACCTTCACACTGAATGTTTACTTTAAGGGCTCGGGTTTGCGTCAGTGGAATAGTTTTACTCAGTCAATCTTTACATAAGGTTTACACTGATACACAGGAGCTACACTGATCAATAGCAGCCCGGATTAACGTGGCTGGTTGACCTACGGACCTGTATTCTTTGCACGTGCATCCCAGACGTTCGAATTCCTTTACAGCTAAATCTGTTTTCTCAAAATATTCACGTCAAGCACAAACTGCGCGGGCAAACAATTATCGCTAGCGTATGTGCAGTCTCGAAATAATCATGATCGCCATCTATTTAAACACTCTTGAATAATAATGATTGTCGCCAACTTTTCATTCCACATGTTTTATCACGAAATCTCTTCAGGCACCATCGACAGTAAATCTTGAGGTCGCTCCGACCCCCGGTCATTTCTTCCAAAGCCCCCCAAATCTTAAGTTTCTCTTTTCTTTGATCCGTGGGTCTCAAAAAGTAGTTAGAGAAGGTTGGAGTTACGGTTGGGAACGGAGAAGTTTGTGTATGATCGCTTGTGTTGGAAAATATTCAGATATTGAAGCTAATATATCGGATAGAAAGAGAGAATGCTAACTGAAAGGTATATTGACACGTTGTAGTAGTCTGAGTAAAGCAACATAAAAAAGAAACTTAAAATTAACAATAAACTTAAAAAGGTTTTGGTTAGATTTGTCAAAATGTGAGACATTATTTGTTCTTTCCTCTGCCAAAGCCATAGTCAGACATGTGCCTTGGTTTTAAGCTCACGAAGGAGATGCAATACTACGATTGTTTAATTGATATTTCTACGAGTATATTTGTGCAAATTGTCATATTACTCCGAATTTATCGCTTAACAACATTTGTGATAGTTAAAGCTCTTAACGAGCACAATGAGTGTCGCAAAACCAAACCCAAGGTAATCACAGCAGCCGATCATAACAAAGGAAAAAGGCCGTAACGAGTCAATTAGACCTCAAAGTGAAGAGAATCAAACTGCTTCAAGCATGGGAAAATGCGAGTTACTAAGTTGCGATCGGTTTGAGTATAGAATCTGTTTGAGAAAGTGGCACGAGTTATCTGAACCAATATCAGCGCGTTATTAATGCAAAATCAAAGCAATCCCAAATTTCTTTCGACACTCAACTGAAATTTGACACGTGTGGTAATAATGCTCTTGCCTGAGGATACAATAACTAAAGAAGACCCTGTGGTCGAAATATGATTTATTTCATATTTGCTGTTGGTAATAAGATCGCCTAGCGGAAACAAAAAAAAAAAAAGAAAAACTAAAATTTGTCTAGATGTCAATATGTGGCTCCATGGCTTAGAGGGTAGAAGCGCCCGACTATCATCTTGGAGGTACGGGTTTGAAAGTAATCGAGCCTGTATCGTAATTATTCTTAGACTGTGAAAAAGAACTTGCTACGTCTCATCGTATTCACAGGTCAAAAATGATGATTCATTTTCTTTATTCACTATCTGTGACCAACAAAATCAATAACAACAATGTTCCCATTACATAATTGAGAACTTTTCAAGTAATCACAGCGACCATTCAGAACAAAGGTTAACATAATTATTAGCCAATGAAACTTAAAGTGGTTTTAGTTTTGCATCTAATTGGTTGAGAGCCGGATGGTACAAGTTTTCTGGACCAATCACAGAACAAAGTCAAGTGAAACCAAAGCAATCCAAGATTGCTTTTGACATTCAATTGAATATTGTTCTTGTTTACAGAATCGAAGGAGAATCAACACCACTAAAAGTTGGTGCCATTTTATAAGTTTTTCTTGATAGAAATAAAAACTTCCTCTCATTTGTGCACAATAGCTTAGAAGTCTAAAATATTATGCGTTTTGTATGTGAGGTGAATCGGAGTTTACTGAACCCTCCGCTTGTGTCTTTTTTTCGCGAGCTCTTCGATTCTGAAACCAAATCTTGACTCTGTGCTCCGTGACTCTCAAAGAGGACGATAAATCCCTCACTTCGGACCCTGAAAGGTACTGGGTCTGAAGGAATTTGGCCTCCAGTGCCGCCAGCTGGGATGAAGAGAAGGGAATCCTGGGATTCCTGTCCAGTTTGTGTCGGCGAGAGCCTTTCCGAGTTTTCGATCCTGGAAAAATGAAAGATAATCATAAGATTTTAATTGCTGAGTCAGATTCTGACTTGATGAGGAGCATAAACTGATGATGATGTTCTGCATGCAAAGTTTTGTCAAGTCCACTTTTTAGTGACCTTTCGAGTTCAGGTCTCACAACATTGTAGGCTTTCTGTATTCGACGTTTAAACTAAAAAAAATTACTATATTCCACATGGAACCCTATCAACATTGCTACATGATCGTAACAGTATACCAGACACTTGCGCATACGAACTCTCTGTGGCTCAATCGTTTAAGCATCAAAGTGAAAATCAGAACTGGCCAGAAACAACACCCATTATGCAGTGGAGAACTTTACCATATATTTTTTAAATTATACCCAAATCTCCATATCCAGTTTGTAAAGAGTACGAAATAACAAGATCATTGTTTCTCATCTAACAGTCTTCAACATTCTAACACACTTAGATGCTCAAGAAGCTCTCTAATACGTTAAATGATTCATTCTCGATTGTATCCTTGTCGTGGTCATCAAAAGCTGAAATAAACGTTGTTAACCACATGCATGTTTGGAGGAGCACGTGATCAAGGCTTTCCGGCGTTTTGGGTGTTTTCATTTTTTATCGGGAATAAAACTATATGAACGAAATGATAAGGTTCTCTTCGATGTAGCTGTGGCCTTGCAATAGCTATCATCTTTTAACGTAGCATTAATGATATAAAAATGTGAACAACATCCTTTTTCTAAAATAGAAGGCGTTTTTGGAGATATGATGCTGAACAAAGACTACATATTTATTGAATCTAACATCTACATATGAGCCAGGAGATGGCTTGGCTCAAAGTATTCTCTATGGCTCAGTGGTAGAGCATCGAAGCACGGAATCCAAAAGTTTGAGGTTCAATCCCTCATGGGTACTGGGAACCTTTGCTTTGTCCCACACTCGAGACGAGACAAAAAATACATGCTTCTAAGTTAATAGTATCTTTGCAACTATACTCTCTTTTTACGTTTTTAGACATTTGTTACCAGCTTGGGACAGGAAAGATATGATTCTCTTTGAAAATGCACAACCTTTCCTTATTTTCCTATTTTGTTAATGGGTGTTATGCTAACTGAACTCTTTGATCGAAAACTACAGCGTCAACTACAGAAAGATTTTAAGCACGTGTCACTAACTTGAGACAAGAAGAAATATAATTCCCCTTAGGAATGCAAAACTCGACTAAACCTGATTTCCGGAGTGGGTGCTATACCAATTGAACTCAATGGATGGCAGACACAGTCCCAACCGAAGTAACATATTGATTATTTGTCACTGGCTCGAGACTAGGGGAAATATGATTCCCCTTTAGGATAGGAAACTCGATTAAGCCTTCTAGTTTTTATGGGTGGTTGCTACACCAATCGATGGGCGTATAGCTTTGTGATGAGGAATGCAGTAAAATAGGTTTATCTCTTAGGACGATCTCATGTATTTCTTCAGCCCGCGAGATGATGTTCCAGAGGACAGACTAACTTGGAGGAAGCAATCAGTTCACTGTAAACTACAGTCCCAATTTTAGAAAAAGACGTGGTTAAAGATTTGAAATAAGCGTGCCTGTCACGTATGGGTACCCGAATCAAAGACTTTCCGATTACATATTTGTAATCGGATAAGCTCTAACAAGTGAATTTAAAGCACTCCTTATTAAGCTAGACCACATACTAGTTTTATTTCTGACAACTGATGAAATTGTATCTTGGTTGTCGATAAAACTCCCTACTGGTAAGTCACTCAATGCCACTGAAGTCAATTCAAGAGAAAGCCACATTTAAATCTTCAAATTACTCTCGAAACAATAATCAAATGAATAGAAATCTCTCCCCTTTTTTTACGTCGGCCAGTTATTAAATAATCGCTTGATGAACCACCTGAAGGCGACACGTGTTCTGGCAAGAATGCTACAAAAACAAAAGTATCTTACTGTTTTGAACTTTAATTCAAAGAAACGAGAACACAGATCAGATATCGGGTTGGAATGGGTTGTTGTAAACGGATCAAAGTGTGAAGCGTGCTTAATCTAGACTGGCGCCGGCTTTAGAAGATTGGAAAGAGTAGAAAGGATTCAAATGTGGGAGGTGGATAAAATACCATCTGTATTGCTTCTCTGATTGACCCAAGAACCGCACCCCTCGCGCGCCTGTCGAGCGGTTGATAGCAAACTGTGGAAGAAATATGCTTCACGTACTCAAAGAAATTAGTTTAAATAAAAACTGTTAATTTCAAACAACTCGTTGATAGTAAAACTTAATAATAGAGATTAAGGACTTAACGTCTTTGAAAATCCTATTGTTTGGAGATAGGAAATCGTTAACTTGCTCTTAAAGAGCACAGAAAAACGTAATTAAGTCAATAATTTTTTGAAACAAAGAACCACTTCGAATTGAATCAAACAATTTTCATTCGTTTTAAGACTAATACCACTCTTGTTTTCCATCAAAGTCTGTAAATGAAATTTTCTCAGAAGAAAATTATAATTTGAGGCCGCAAAGTGATACTTAATGAAGCCCTTTAAGAGAGTATTTAGAAACTGCGCTTTTCGGTTTTTTTCTTCATTAACAAAAAGTAAAATGTTTCCTTGATGCCCCGTGTTAAATGTAAGTTTATTAATTTTGTTCATTTGAATGCAAAGGAGAAGAGGCTATGCTGCTTTCAAGCTATATTACATTTCTTTCAGACTACAAGCTTCATACCACAGTGTTGAGATATTGCTTACAAGATTAACTCGAATAAATGTATTATTACGGCACCTAAAACAACAGAATAATTGGCTCTTACTCTTAGAATATATGATTTGGCGTCGATGGACACTGTTGATAGTTCTAAGGTGTTCTTCTTTCTTCTTCAGATTTTGGTTTGAAACAAGTAAATGGAACCATTTTTTTCTATCTCAGGATAGGCGTTTGACAGCCAAACATGACTTATTCAGCAAACTCTTTTCAATCTCTCTCTTCTAAAGGCCAAAAGAAATACTACAGATCATAGTGCAACTAAAAACGTTTGCTTAGTCAATGAATTTCATGACTATTGATGCAGAAATTAGCCAAAGTAGTTTGCAATTTTTAGCACAAGTAAGTGGCTTATTGAACAAAATCGCATTTTAAAAAGAGTGCTCTGGTGAAAGTGAATATAGAAAATAAAGTTAAGTCGTAGATTCTTAGATTATCTCACGAAGAAAGTCTTTTTCATTGACTTCGCCTTATTTTAGCCTTCAATGAAAAATATGAAGTCCTCCGCGCACGATTTGATTTAGCAAGGCTGAAGAAAGATTATGGCAACTGAACAAAATCTGTCATTGTATCCACGTGTATTGGTAAGGGATAAATGTCAAGTCAATATTCTGAAGAGTAAGTCACTAGGACGATTCATGATGAGTTTGAATCCTTTGGTTTCGTCCTCACAGCAAGGTGTTAAAAGCTGCAACAACAAAACCTCAAGTCTTTGCTCAACCTAATCATGGATGTACAACATTCAGATAAAAAATGGCATTGACGAAAAAAAAAATGAAACAAAAAGAAACCAAGACAATTCACAAAGAAAACCGCAGATGAACATGTATCACTAACGTGGGACAGAGACTCAAATCTAAATACTCTGTGACGAATCAAACCTCGTGAAGTTCCGATTTTGCGGTGGTTTGTTTTACCATCTAAGCTATGCAGAAAACACTATGAAGAGCTTCATTTGAGCAGTATACCAGCTTCAGAGGTAAACTTATGCTTTCATGTGCGAAAATCAAACCTTTACTTACTTGGAATTTTCGGAGGACAGTACCTTGTGTAGGCAAGCCAAGGTAGGCGTGAAAGCAAGGTCGACATAGACGGTTTCCTTGAGCCATCTGCACACTTCGGGGCGTGCTCATTGCTTCGCTTGGCTCTCGGTCCAAATCTTCCCTCACTTAATATGTTCTCTATCGAGAAAGACAGGTATGGTTTTGCCGCCGGTGGCGGTTGCAAAGAATTTTCAGCAGCAGAATCGCTAATTCTATCCTCCATAGCTTGTTCGTCGCAGGGTGTACTGAAGAAGCTTATCTTTCCCAAGAGGAGCGCTGGCGGATTGCTTAACTCAGAGACAAAGCTGCACAGAGTTCTAAGCTGTTTACCGGCACATTCTCCACTAGAAGTTTCAATTCAGATTCTATTATAAAGACGTTGATCTCAACAATGACGTGTCTTGTCAGGTTTGTACGCGCTCTTGACAAATCCCTAGTCTTTGTGAATAGTTTACTTGTCAACTGCTCTTGAATATATCGTTTTAATCCGGGATTACGGTGATAAAACCCTTTATCGTATTATCAAGAAGACATCGAAAACAGCCTCAGACGTATCCGCAGAGCAAACGAGTGTATTAATCAAGTCATTTCCAAGTCTAAAATAAAATTGTATCCCCGTTCAAGCTTGCGGATATGGCGTGATTTTGTATAAACTTTGTTTGTTCATTGCGCGTCGGTCTCGAATGATATAATTTATTAACCGAGAGAAGAAGACAATGTTGGACACTTGAGCTTGTCAAGCCTTAATTATCAGCCCTTGGATATAAGCACAACTCATATAAGATTTGTCTTCTTAGTTGGAAAAGAAAAGGGTCTTTGTTGAAGGATTTTTAGCGATGTGTTGGTAACATGTTTGAGTATTTCTGTTGCAAATCAGACGTAGAAATGTTCCAGGTGAGACTGTACCAGAAAATAACATCTTTGAATACCTTTTCAAAAGTAAATTGCAGCAATGATTTAGCAATGCCCCAAATGACCAACAAAATCGATTAAAACACAATTCTTAAATTTAATTGGTAACAAAAACTCGAACGTAATTAATTACTGTATACGGAGTTGGGAAATAAGATGTGAAAGCTGATGAATGAGCAGGGAAATTCGATTTTAGCGGTAAAAAGATAATAAATTCATTCGATAGAGACTAAGGCAAACAAATCTGCAAATTGTGAACAGTAGACTGCCCAGCTTAAATCAACAAAAACGGAAGTTTTGCAGTAAGTTGTATGCCTTATGGAAGTGCTAATAATTTTTTGTCGTGAATTGACAAACACTTCAACAAGCCACCTTGTTTTTGTAAACATTTTCTCGTAGTTTCCTAACAACGGTTTCAGTTCCTACAGTAATCCTACACACGAAATTTTCAAAAGCTGTTTCGTATATAAAAAAACGCAAACGCAATAAACGACAGATATAAGAAAACCATGTGTTTGAGTGACACGGCATCTCTAGTTTCTGTAGCAAGTCCTTGGTAACATAAAACCGCTCAATTTAAGGGGGATCAATAATCATTTTA